AGAGAGAGAGAGAGAGAGAGAGAGAGAGTGAGAGAGAAAGAGAGAGATAGAGATATGATACAAACACACATTATCTATATACACACAAACCCACTTGTCTTTTTTTTCGATACCGTAAAAAACCACCAGACCGCTGCCATGGCTTTACTTCAGTTATTCCTAGCTGAGTAGCATCACTATCATGATCAAACCACTTGACCAACTGTTTCCCCTCCCAAAACAAAAACCACAAAGCTAAAAAGTGAAAGATCAATATCGGACGTTAATATCAGCCCAGTTTTACTTATCGGACCGATACCAATGTTAATGCCGATATACGTGCATCCCTAATTTTTGTTTTAATAGTTTTGTTTATTTATTTTGGATACTTAATATGTCTTCCAGTTCTAGTGTTAAACGTTCTTTAGAAATTGAAGTTTGTTTATTTATGCTATTATCATATTAGTTTAAAATGGTCTCCAAACAACATCATGTATCGCGATAATTTCTGACACAATTTATCGTCCAGCAAAAAAATTTTTCATTGTGACAGGCCTAACAGCTAATCAATCTTAGCAAACACAAAAATGGCAATAACACTGCTTTTTTTATAGATATTGATCCAAACTTTGCTGTAAAAATAGCTGAAAGTCATCTTCAACACATTTACAAGGTTTAATCCAATCAGCTTCAACTCAAGTTGTCTTAACGTGATATTAGTCTAAACTCAGGCGTAAACCATAGGGGTGCAGTTGTCAGCCATCTTCTGTTATAAATAACTGCTCTTTAGAAACAACCACAGCTATTTGTTCTCCCGGGTCTAACAAGCACCACATCTGTTAACACAACTAAACAACCGTGAAGCAGCTTCTTTTCTTTTCTTTTTCCCCTCAGTCTTTAACCGTGGACTGCACAGGCTCCCGACTGGAGTTGAATGATGGTAGTTGTTTTTTTTTTAGGTTAATAAAATCAATCTTTCCCTGGGTTTTTTGTTCTTGCTTGGCGTTGTTTTCATTTATCGTCTCATAATGTGGGTGTTCTGAAACCCTTTGAGACTGAACCTGCAAGTAAGGCATGTGCAAATAAACATGACTCACAGGGAATAGATGCATTTTGTTGACATGTTTCAGAGTGTCGACTTCTGTCTGCAGAAATCAGGTCGACTCAGAAGCAACAAGGGAAAGTTTATTTTTAACCTAAGGGAGAAAAAAAGTCCTTTTATACCAGCTTTCACTCTCTGCAACCCCCCCCCCCCCCCCCCCCCCCC